GTAGGTGTTACAACTGTTTCTATGACTCCTCCAGTACTTCAGCATTTAAAAAAGAAGTGTTTTGAAATTATCCTGGACTCTGCATCTACCATCAAAATACTCTTGTTAGGCCAGTCACTCTAAGGGTCACAATTGTTCATAAGAACAGAGCCAACGTTGTTTCGTGTAGGGATATTGTATAATAAACTTTAATAGTATCTCCTTGAGGATGACAACTCAGATTGGACATCTGATGTTCTGGAAGGCAGCAGAAGAGTAGGTAGAGTGCTTTCAAACAAGAAATAATTGACAAATGGAGATCTTTAAATGCTTCTCAATAAAAAGAAATGATAGTTTATTTACTTAAAATAAAAAGTTAAGAAAAACCTTAAATCATGTTTGAAAACTGGAAATCCCCATGGCTCAGTACTTGGGCAGTTTTGTTTAACATTTTTGTCAGTGATCTGGATCATCCAGTAATTTTGCAGGCAATACCAAGTTAGGCAGAATTGCTATTCTGCTTGAAAGTTCTGCAGGGGGATGTGGATAAAGTGGGTCATTGGGATGAATCCATTTACATGGCATTCAACAAGCTAAATGCCCATTGCTACAGCTGGATCATAACAATCCCATGCAGTGATATAGTTTTGAGGCAGAGAGACTGGAGTGCTGCACGGACAAAAAGGATTTGGGAGCATTCATTGACAGCCAAGTATGCTCAGGTAGTCAAGAAGGTCAACGACATCCTGGTCTGTATAAGAAATAGCATAGCCAGCAGGACTGGGGATAGAATTGTCTTCTGGTAAACAGCGGTAGTGAGACCACACCTCCAACCCTGTGTTCAGTTTTGGGCTGCTTATTACAAGGACATCGAATTGTTTAAGTGTGTTCAGAGAAGGGTAACAAAGGAAGTTCAAGGGACTAGAAAACAGGAGTTGCGACGAGTGACTGAAGGAACTGGATTATTTTAATCTGGAAAAGAGGAGAGTGAGGGCAGACCTCATTGTGCTCTACATTCGCCTGAAAAGAGATTGCGGAGAGGAAGGTTTTGATCTCTTTTTCCGGGTGACAAGTGATAGGATGCAAGGAAATGGCCTCAAGTTATGCCATGGGAGGTTTAACTTGGAAATTTTGAAGAATTTCTTTACAGGGATTGTGTTTAAGCACTGGAACTGGCTGCCTGGGGGAATAATGGAGTCCCCATTCTCATTTAAGAGAAATGAGACTAAGTTACATAGTTTAATGATAGTACTCGATAGTTGATGGTTGAACTTTGTCCTGAATGTCAGATTGATGATTGTGCTTTATCTTGAATGTCTTTTGCAACCTGGATCATTCTACAATTCTAAGAACACAAACATAATTTTTAAGATTGGAAAAATGCTGGTTTTTACATCTGCGAAAATTTCAAATAGACTAAACTTTAAGTGAAAAAAAAAAAGGGTAGATCTATTCAAACCATATGAAATAAGATGAAATTCAGTATCTGGAAATTCAAAGAAAAGTGTATTCTGGGGCTGCAACTCAAGTAGAAATAAATCCAACCTGGTGGATTATTTTAGATACAAAGAAGATGCTTAAAATGTGTATTTGTCTTTGAAAGCCACTTTGGAAAAGACATAAACTCTGGGAAGATGTATAAGTGATTTTTGGATAGCATATCATTTAAAAATTACTTGTACAGATGACTTTGAAGTAGTATTCTTCCGGGATAAGCAATATCAGTTTGGGTGTGGGCAGTTCTTAGCATGTACTGCCCAAGCACCTACAGGTTGGGATTTTTTTTTTTTCTTTTAAATGTTTTTGACACTTTCTAATGTTATAGTTTCAAGTTTAGCTCCTTATACCATGTCTTGCTCTCTTCTGGTGCTGCTTCGTCCATGCAGCATCATGTAACATGTTGTGCTTGTGGTCATATAACTGTGTAGATAACACAGGGCTTCAAGCAGTTCTGTAGCAACATTTTGTTGATGCTGCATGACTGCATCCACCACTTCCACTTTTCTAACCTGCTATAGTTACACTGACAACCAAAATTATTACAGTTGGTAAAGAATGTAAACTTCTTTCTTCCTCTCATTTTCATTCTGTTCAGCAGTTACATCCCATTCTGTAAGGCTACTCAGTCCCCTCAGAATGAAGATCTCAGATACTCCTTTTTCTTTCAGTTCATGGATTCTTTCCTATTCCTACAAAGGAGAGTGGGAAAAACAATAAAATTCAGGAAATATAAAAAAAATACAGAACTATTCAAAAATCATTTTCCAGAATTGGCTGGATTTCAAGCTGAGTGTGTCTTCATCATGATCACTGTTGCAAGGTATAAGTAAATTGAAACACTCATAGATGCACATGAAAAGATTTTCATTTTTCAGCTGAAGTGTGTCAGTAGTTTATTTTGGTAGCATGAATTATAACTGTCCATGATTCTATTATCCTATGATTGCATTCTGCAGGAGGTCAGATTGCATAACCATATTACTCCTGCCAACCTTTAAATTCATGAAGATACAATGATAAAAAACCAATGTTTTTGAAAAGCACGCTCCTACAGATCAAAATGAGTGCAGTTCAGAATTACGTGTTTGCCAAGGAAAACAAAAGTTTTCTACTTGCAAATTCTTTTTAACTGTTCCCTTTATTGGAGTCCATTCTGGATTTAATTTACTTGTCCAACTGTTTTGGAAAGATTTCCTTTATTCATCTTTGCGTAGGCTCAATGTAATGTACTGTAATGTGAATGTTATTTATCCTGTGATTGACTTCTTCTCACGTTCCTTTTCTGTTGTTTCTTTTGCTGTTGTATTAAAAACAACATAGTGAACTCTCAGGGAACAGATTTATATTTGTCTTATCAATACTAGGAACTTTTAATAGAGAATGCACAATTTATTTTTGTTTGTTGTTTCTCTGCTATATCTATTTTACTAAAAAAAAGTGTAACAAAATTTTGTAAAAAATACAAAATTAAATCTTAAGTCAGTAGCCTCCTTCCCCAAGATCTTTTGTTTTTCCTCTATATCCTAAATCAGTGATAACCAGATTGTGAAATGGTTGCTTTAAATGCTTTCCCCCCCCTCCCCCCCTTTTTTTTTTTTCTTCTAATGGCTTACTAAGATCGTTGACAGTTCATCAAAATGTCTTTTGCCCACATTAGTGATGTAGTCACTGTTGAACAGCTAGTTATCAGTACTGTTAACTGATGAAAAAAATAACTGCCTTGAAATTACTTATTCATCTGTGGGACTTTAGTGTTGAACTGGGAGCAGCTAGATTGAGCCATGCTGGGACACTTTTCTTGTAAGCAAGTGCAAAACTTGTGTGAATCAAGTAAAATGAGGACTTCAGCTGGAGCACTGTGTTGTTTAGGAAAAGTATGGTTTAGAAATAACCTGATGTGGAAAAGGTCCCCCAAGATTTAATTTGTATAACATATTATCTTGACAGTTTATTAGCAAGATGTTTGTCAGACTTATATAAGCATACTGTGAGTACTACTGCGTGTTCTACTGAGTGTACTAATGTTGGCAGCTATAAATATAGCTATACCATTCATTTATTAAATATAAAAGACTAATGGGAGTATTGAATTTTGTAGTCATTTTAAATAATGGCATACATTTCTGCTTGTTGCACATATATTTTTTTTTCATTTTGATACTCAATTTGTTAGTTGTGAAATATATTTTGTAATAATAAATTCAAATAATGGCAACATAGATTTATAAAAGAAACAAATTACTTCCTTAAGCCTGAAAAAATGCTGTCTTTTTCTGATTGTCCCTTTGCAGATTGTTTGGTAAAGAAATGCTATACTTAATAATTAAGAATCCTCTTGAGACAGTTTTGAATACTGACTCTTACAATTACGGTATTGTGCTGTTTCCAAAATTAATTTAATAAATGAAGAGGAAGAAATGTGGATACGAAGATGTGCTATTGTTCTGCATTTCCTTTGACCTGATCATGCTGCCACATGTGCTTACTCGCAGACTTTTTCCCCAGGCTTGAGTAGGGGATACTGATCATTTCTCTTCCTGTTCCCTGAACATGAGCTGAGTCCCTGCAGAGATCTTTATTTCTTCTTCCAGAAGAAATGAACAGCACCAATAGGTGGAGGTCTGTTTTCCCTGCTGATGCATTTCTCATCCCTTTAGTCTTTAGCTTCCACCACTCTGGAATCAGCTGTGCAATGTGAGATGCATTGTTGGATCTATGATGCTGTGTTGGTTTAATAATTTCATTTGCTTTCAAGTATTCTAGGAATCTCTGTTCCCTTCCCTAAAAGATCTATGACTTTTTAGTGTAGCGAATTAGTCTTAAAGAAAAGTAGTTCATGCTGACTCAACTCAGGAAATTTATGTAGTTTTTAAAAAGAAACTATTTCTTCTTTTCTTCTTGTAGAACAAAGTGTTAAAGTGTTTGTGCTTGGTTTTTTTTTTTTTTTTTTTTGGTCATATTTTGTCTTGTTGGAAGACTAGGTCTCGTGCTTTACGTAGCAGATTTACTATGCTACTAGTGATAACTGTTCACCACAATCACATTTCCTTAAAAGAGTGTTTTAGACAGCCCTTGCACTCTTCTAACATTTGCCTTAGTGCATTAGGAAAATGTAACCATTAATTATATCTTGCGACAAATCTTTTAAACAAAATTACTGGAGTCCCTAAAGGACTTGCTCTTCAAAATTATTAAGCCTTGAGTTTGTTTGGTAAGAATTAAAGATGATTGCAGTTCTTACTTCTCAAACGTGATTGTGTTTCTTAATGCTGTTCGAGTCATGAGCCAGGCATTTTTGTCTTCATGTGTCAAAACACAGAATATTCATCATACAATCATTCAGTATGGCCTACAAGAGTTTATCTGCACTTCTTTTTAAACTGAACTTAGTTGCAGTTACAGCTGAAAAGTACAAGAGCTCTTCAATATGGTAACTTCTAGAAATATTTACTCCATTTTGAAAGAAAAAAGAAAAGGCTTTTAAGTTACTCAATTTTTGTTTTTTCTTTATGTCTCACCAGTTGAGAAAATACAGAGCCAGTGGGATGATGTGCACGGATACCTCCAAAGCCGAATACAACAGCTTCATGAGATGCTAAAGGATTCAACACAGTGGCTGGAAGCTAAACAAGAAGCTGAACAGGTTCTTGAACAAGCAAAAGCAAAGCTTGAGTCGTGGAAAGAAATTTCCTATACTGTGGAAGCTCTGAAAAAGCAGAACACTGAGCTTAAGGTCAGTATTAAGAAATAGGAATTTAAGATAAATAATCAAAATGTGGATAGATGATTGAAAATGCATCTGCTTGCTTTAGATTGTTAAAGCAAATGTCCTCTAAATATTAAACACTGCACCTCTAAGATAAGTCCTTTATCCCTTCCCATTTTCAACAAAAATTTAGTAAGAAATTAATTTTCAAGTGTATGTCACATACTTCTTGAATGAAATTGATCTAGTAAGTCATAGGAAATAGCTGATTGCAGGAAAAAAAATCTCTTCACCAGCAGAAGTATTTCTCATCTGTTTTGTACACTAGCCTTATCTGAGGCCCTGGAACTAGAGACACTGTAATATTGGTATTTCTGTCTGCATTGACAGGGAATTTGTATGGGTTACCTGGAAGTAGTTAAAATTAGGAAAGAAAAGGAAAAACTACAACAAGCTATTTTAAAATCAAGTGTTTTTGGATTTGCAACAAGATAATCTCACTCAATTCAACCTTGGCAGGTTATTAATTACAAATAATCTGAAATAGCTAATTTTATGTCTTTGGCAAATATATTGCACATTTTGTTAAAATGTGAACCTGAGTTAAGTTAATTAGCTGAACTATGCCTCAAGCAATTCAGATGAACCCTAACTATTGCATCAGCTTTAAAGTTTCTTGTTAACTAAATAGTCATACTTTGGTGACATTTCTCATGAATAAATTTTGAGAACAGCTGTTTCAGATTAATAATATCTCATTTTCTGCTTGGGGAAAAACAAGATTGAAACCAATCAGTTGAATAGCCTTTTAACCTGGGTTCTGCCTTCATGTTAATGGAACATTACCTTTCAGTTATTCGGGAGAATACTTACACAAATGTTTTCTGATATGTTCTACTCTTCTGACCTGGTATTATTTTTATTATTTTAACTCCTAGCACTCAGGCATTTGGCTAAAGTTTGTGGGCTTCATCAGTCTTACTCGCCTTATTCTTTTAAGGCTGTTATACCACTGTGAAGTATAGTGGAGTGAGGTCCACATCACCTGGTTTTGCTGCTGTGTGTGTAACTCCATGGTTGGTATTCAGCTATCTCAATCATCAGTTAGTCATTACATTTCTGATAGTTAGAAGTAGATACAAAATCAGCTATTTTTTCTTGTTTCTTTGCCTGTAGGAAACATTAAAACTTTCATCATCCTTTTGCTTTTGGACTGGGAAATGGTTTTCTTCTTTAAGATTATACCATAAAGGTCATTGCTTGTGATGATTGGATTATGTTGAAGAATGACAATTCCTCACTAATGTATAGGAAATAATTAGAGATTATGTGTACTACTGTCATTCAGCACAGAGAACTTCAGCAGAGATGGAGTTCAAGCCTCTGCCCAGTTTTTTGTTTAAGAAAAAAAGAAAAGGAGAAAAAAAAAAAAAAAAGCTTTGAAAAAGCCAATGTCCAACCTCAACAGAGACACAATTATTAAAAAAAAATACAGCTGTTTTCTGCAAACTGTCTTACGTCTTCCGTGTCTTGAGTGTTTTATGTCTTAAACATGAATTACACAATTAAATGATTGAAAATGTTATTTTAGAGATTAATTTCTTGTGTACCTTTTTTAACAAGCATGTATGAGATTGAGAAGAGGCTCATTTAAGTGTGTATGCCTTATGAAAAATCATAGAAATTTTTTTTTTAAAGCCTAGTGAAGCAAAGAAAAAAAGATGCTGTTTTTTCTTCTTCATCTCTTGGTAGAGAAAATATACTTGTATATTCATTCATAGAATGTATCTCTGCATGAACAGGGTTTTTGAAAGGGTATTCTGTGAATATTCTTTTTACTTCTTCTGTAAAAAAGAAGCAGCAGTTAGGATATCAGTACCTTATGCCATTTTCGTCCTTATGTGAATTCAATATTACACACTGTGTCCAGTTCCAGATATTAGACTATAATTATAATGTAGCTGTTAAAGGTGGTCAGGTTCATGACTAGTCTTTACTTAATTTGATTTGCCCTCATGATGATATGAACATCCACAGGCTCTACTATTCCAGGCATATGTTCTTTGTTTGATTTTCTCCCACAAGTCTGAAAAGTATTCACCTCTGTCTTAGAGAATCTTCTTTTTCATTTTTAATCCTTTTTTTCTTTTCACAAGTCCTCATAAATGAATTATCTTTGTCTGCCAGTAATTCCTATTGTGTCAGTTCCCTCATGAAAGCTTCTCAAAAGTGACAGCATCAGCTGTTGTGTTCGTGCTCAAGATAAGGGGTCATGAATTCTAAGCAAAACTGAAATCTTATTTGAATTTAACAGCTTTGTATTTCTTCTGTCTGGCAGTATCAAAACTGAAGGACCCAGTCCTCAGAATAAATGCTTTCCAGGCTTCCATGCCAAACATGCATTTTGATGTCTCCTGAATAAGTAGAGTAAATATGCTGTGTTTTGGCTTGCTGTTCTGATGAAAAAAAAGCTGTCATTTTATTAATTGCTATTGAGTTTTCCTCTGCTCTAGGTGAACTCTAAGTCAGTGTTCGTGTTAATGCTTTTCTATAGTGCATCCTTATACATGAGTAAATTCAGCAACACCTGTCCTTTGATTATTTATTTTTTACAATTCCAGCATGAAAGTAAAATCTGTAGCCAGCTTATATTTGCCCAGTGATGGTTTTTAATAGAATTTGACACACTCATTACTGATGTTTAAAAGAAAAGGAACTACAGACAGTGTAGCTGCTAATTAAAACTATGATTCCTTTGAGATAGAAGTTAGTTCAGAGCTAATTTGCTAAGGACTAATGCTTTTTTTTTTTATTATTATTATTTTTATTTTTATTTTTTTTCCCCATTTTCTTTTTTAGTTTGATATCCAAGAATGCCATGAATTCAATTATTAAAAAGAAAATCATTACAGTTATGTAAGACAGAATTTAATAAGAGTCTGATAGGACAGGCAGGTAAAACATTTACCTCTATGCATTGTTCTCAGGTGTGTGCACAAAGAGTAGAGTTGAAACAAGGTGTATGCTCATCAAAGTTGGTGAAAAATTACATACCAATTTCCAGTAAAGTAGAAAATCCAAAATGTTTGTGTTACAAAGCTCTATATCCATAATTTCTTTCCCGAGTGATGATCCAGTGTTGTAACATCAGGAAGTTAATGGATTAGTGTTGAAGTTAATGGTGAGAATCCATGCTTTTGGAAATAGCCATGTAATGGATCTTTCTGTATTTTTTATTATAAAACTGGGTTTGGAATGTTTTGTAAGGCTGTAAACATTGCATGGAACTAGACAAAAATTATTTTCAAAGTAAAAATTACTGGCCATTAGTCTATAATACAGAAGAAAAAATGCAGAGGCAACTTTTCTTTGTAAAGCAGGGAACAGTCAAACTGATGAAATGCCTTGAGCTAGAAAGAAGTAGTAGTGTGCATATATGATGTGAGGTGGAGTGAAAGTGATAAAGATTAATAGATGTAACTATAGAATGGATACTTGCTATAAAAGACCTACAAACCTGAAATGATAACTGCTGTAAACATTATTTAATTTTGTTTTTATAGACTTTATTATGTGTAAATGAATATTAACAATTGCATATTTATATAATTCTGTCAGGGAAGGAGGTAAAAAACTATTTCTAAAGCACCTTCTGCCTTTATCCTTTCCAAAGGAGCGCTGGTCGTTTTTTATGTATTTATCAGTGCTCCTGACTCCAGCTCCATACTTTACATGAGAGAATAACTTACAAAAATTATCTAAGCAGCTTTATCTTAGCTGCATTTAACATGTTCAGGTGGTTCTCAAAGAGTCTGTAGGCTCTTCCTAATGTCAGATTGATAAAAACAAAATCTGTTTCTCAAAATACATAATCAGGTTTCTGTCTTGGTGTTTGAGGTTATCTGGTGCATAGTAAATGACATGGAGGGGAATAACACAAGAAAGAGAGGAAATAGATGTTTTCAGTTTCACATTCTGGAGGGGACCTAAAGATGATGAAGCACCTTTTAACAGGCAAAGGCTTTGAAGGCGAAAAAAATTGCAAGAATAAAACTTTCAGAACTCCTGCTATACACTTTTCAAAGGTGACATCATTATCAGTCCCAATCTTAAACGAAATCAACCTACAGACTTTCTGAGATGAAAGAATATGTATGCAAAATATTCAGAACATACTATTTTTTATTTAGTGTTTGGACTGTTTAATCAAAGACTGCATGTTTATGTTCAGTTTTGTGTGGAGAATTCATTATCAGAACCAAAACAGTATTTTATGAGTACACATTTGTACATGAAATGAGTATAACAGTTGTTCTTTGTAAAGATTTCCTAACTTTGATTATTAAGGCCCACTGATAAAGAGAGTCAAGTGTTATTGTTTGTGGTTTTGGGGATAGATAGCCTCTAGTGTATACATGAAACTTAGTGCTTCTATTGGCAAATTCAGCCATCTCCTTTCATTTGCACTGTCCCATTGATTGCTTAGTTGTAGTTTTTGCCTAGTACAAAAGTACAAGTAGAACATTGATTCTCTTTTCTCTTTCATTTTGTTGTTGCACATTATGGATTGAATACCTGGCTTCAGTGCATTTATATGTAAATTTTCTCTGAGGTAAAAAGCTAACAGTAAAACTACACAAAATCTGGTTTCTGCCTCAAAGTGTATTCCAGATTTCCTGGCTTGCTGCTGCAGTGAAGTAGCTGGCCCAGGTGAAGGAACCGGGGCAGAAAGGAGAAGATGAACAGGGGAGGGAAGAGAGAAAGAAAAGAAGGAATGCTTAAAATCTAAAAAGCTTTTTTAATAATAAAAATCATAAATTAGCATTCTGAAGATACTGTTGGGCTTTCCAGTAGAATTTTGCTTTACTGCAGATTTTGTGTTGTTCCAGTAGATGGCACTAATTACATAAACAATGCACTAAGATAATACATTAAAAAGAAAGAAATGTGAACGCATTGGCATTATTTATTAAACCTTTAGTATTATTTCACACTGCAAAGAAGAAAATTTGATGGAGCATATTATTTCAGTATATTTTCCATCTCTGTGTTCTTCAGCATCACAAGTAGAAGAATTAATAATGCATTCATATATTAAGGTCCAAAAAAAGAACAATCAGCCTGCTAACATTTATCAATATGAGCTGCCATGTTTTATTTGACATACAGTATTTCTGATGCTTAATCCCTTCAGAGATTAGCAGTAGTCCTGCAGTCTTAGACCTAAATAATAATAATAATAATAAATAAAAGAAAAAGAATCTAACTTTAGCTGTCAGTTCTGAGGAAGTCCTTGTTGTATTTTTTATATTGGTGGTGCAACTTATCCACTTCCTATTGTAATGATCATAGTATGTGTGTAGTTCTTTTAAAATAATCTGAGGTTTATTCTTTTTTTTTTTTTTTTTTTTTTTTCCCCAGCAATTTTCAAAAGAAATCCGACAGTGGCAAATGAATATAGAAGTGGTGAACGACGTGGCACTTAAACTGCTCCGCGATTATTCAGCAGATGACACCAGAAAAGTAGAACTGATGACAGATAACATTAATGCAACATGGGCTACAATCTGTAAGAGGTAGGAAATACATTCTGTCACTAGGTGTGTTGTTAAAATTCACTAACATTCATTGTCCTGCTTTTAGTTGGAGATTATAGGCGATAAAAGTTTTGAGAATAATATGGATGCAGTTAAAAAGGTAAAGAATGATGACACTTCTTCTCTCATATTTTGTAGACGTGTGTCTTTGGAATGCCAGTTAATTGTCTCACATAACATTTGCCTTCTTACAATTCTCCTCTTCTATGAGCTGTTGCCAGGTAACTTCAGTTGATGGGTTATATATTTTAACCATTTAAAATGAAGTGTACCGTATTTCAGTGTACTATCTTTGCATCACAATTACAACTGCGATATTGTTGGAGTCATAAACTGAGTCTGAAAATTACAGCATATCCTATTGAAGTGGGCTCCAAGTAGAAATGTTGTCCTGCAGCTTTGAAGCAAATCTGTAGTCAAGGAAGTTTTTATTAGATCCTTGATCACATTCTTGATTACATTTCATAGTCTTGCAGTGTTTCGTGTAGATAGCAATCCCTTACAAAAAGCAATTTTTGGGGCTTGTCACCAAATCATGGATCATCCAATATTCCATCTATAAAGTCAGGGTGCTCCTCAGATAAAAATGACTTCCTTTGTAGCAGTAAAAGGGGGTTACGTAATTGTACACTGGATAAGATACACAAAAATTACAGTTGTTTTGATCAGTTTAGTATTGGATTAAGTTTTATAGCTTATAACTGAAACAAAAACTGTGTTAGTTTTTAAGATGCTTTAGTTAAAGTTTATTGGCAAAGCCAGAAAAGTTGTTTCGTTAAATATACAATAAGTTCAGATGATCTTGCATTATGGAAGTTACTTAAATCATTGATGACTAAAAAAATTTATTCTGAAGCAAGCTTGCAACTGATTTAAAAACCTGTTTAAATGAGAAGCAGACAATGCTGATGTTTACTAGAAGAAAACCGCTTCCTTTTTTTTTTAAAAAAAAAAAGAACCTAAACTGAGAAATTAGTGTAAATTAGTGTAATTTAGTGAATATTTGCTTGTATTTATGTATGCTGTAATTGTACAATTTATATATTATACAGCTTGTATAGCTAAATGGCAGTAGCCATTTTAGCCTTGTTGGTAGTAGCTATATTTAAAAAAACAATATTAATAAAAATATTATCTGCAGCCTAAGAAACTGGCTGCATGGTTTCTTACATGAGAAGGGCTGGATATCTCATGCTCAAAACTATACCCTGTGAGTAGGTAAATGAGTTGGTCAGAATGGTTAGATGTCAGAACTGAAAGGAATTGTGTTTGCTTGTGTGTAGAACTACTGCTGCTGCTTGGTGAGATAGCTTTGTAGCTCTCAAGGCTAGCTCTAGCTGTGGCTGCAATGGTTGCTCAGGTAGCAATTATAGCTAGGAAGGCATCTGTAAATCTGTTGATGGTTCAAGCACAGATGCAAGTCTGTCTTATGCTGCTTTAATGTGCTGATTGCCATTGTCATACACAATCAGCTGAGTACTATAGGCTAACAGAGATTACAAATCCTTCAAGAGACTCCTTGCAAGTTTTTACAAAACCCAGAGTTGTTCACAGCTTGTGTGTTTGATGAATTACTGGAGTAAACATTTCATGGCTTAAAAAAGAGCTGCTTAGATAACTGAGTTGGCATTTCTTATTAAGTACAAGAGAGTAGGATTAAGCTTGTAGATGTAACTGTAAAACTAGGATTTTGTAAGTTTTGGTTACTATTAAGTGTTTTGTATATAATGTTCCCAAGATTTCCCAGGATTTGGGAACTTGACAAATGTAGGCTGCAAACATTAGTTGATAAGCTTTTCTGAGGGCTGTGTCATGTTTGTCTTTCATGAAAAGCTGTTAAACATGGACTGAACTGAAGTTAGCAGAAGGCTTGAACTTAGGAGCACTTCTGAACCAGTGGATTTATCACTTTTTTTTCCAAGCGGTACCCAATCTTTTTGGTCATTGAGAAGCTCCTGAGTGAGTTCTTGAAAAAACATCCTCAGGATGTCTTGTTAAGCAACTCTGTGAAAGAGAAGATGGACTCTGTGGGTCTTCAGATGACTTAAGTGCCAATTTAGTAGTTGTATTTTGTACTTTGTCCTATTTTGTTTTGTTTTTCTTACCTTTCACTTCAGTTCTCAACAGATTGTCTTGATGTTTTTGGGTCGT